TTGAAGTTCAAGTTCATCCTGTTTATTTCCCATTCTCTGTGCATTAGTATAAAGACATCTCAGATTACAGACATCCGTTCCTACCATAGGTCCCTTTGAATTTACCTGAAAATTACTGAACTCACCTCTCTCCTGTTCATTTATTCTCTGGTCACTCCCTTTCTTGAACTTAGTGTTGGAGATGCTGCAGAACATCAGGCTTTTTCTTCTCACCCCCAATATCTTCAGTTTAAAGCCCTCCTGATCAGGTTCGCAAGTCTTCCAGTAAAGACATTCCTCCCATTCTTTGTAAGGTGCACCCCATCCATCGCCAACAGTCCCTCATGTTGGAGCTACACACCATGGTCCAGGAAGCCAAATCCCTCTCGACGGCACCATCTATGTAACCAACCATTCACCTCCAGTATCCTGTTCTCCCTTCCAGCTTCATGGCCCTCAACAGGTAAAATGGAGGAGAACACCACCTGTACCCCCAGATCTTTCACCTTCTTGCCTTATCATCTTTCGAGATCCATTCAAGGTTTCTTCAGGCTATATCGTTTGTTCCCACATGGATCAGCAGGAGCGGGTAGCGGTCAGAGGTTTTCACCAGTCTTGTAATTCTCAGTCACATCTTGAATACATGCTCCAGGAAGACACCAAGCCTTGTCCGGTCTGTACACAACTTCTTCCGTCCCTCTCAGTAAGGAGTCACCAACCACCACTGCTTGTCTCTTCCTCTGCGGGATAGCTTGGTTCCTTCTCTGCCTATGTGTTTGTGTGTCAGTTACATCCTTTTGATCTCGGAGTGTGCTATTCTCATCTTCTACCATCAGAAGCGGCTGGTAGTGATTTTGCAGCTCCACTGGCTGTGAGTGTTTCCTGCTTATCTTACTCCTCAAAATCACATTCTTCCACTCACCCACCTGTTTCTTGTTCCTTCTTTCCTGTTGCTTAGGATTTGCCAGCTCTTGCTGTTCTCTCAGGAGCCCCTCTTCCGTCACGTCTAAAAACCTTTCTCCCTCCCTGATGTTCCTCAGTGTACAGATTTTTGCCTCGAGTTCTCCCACCTTCTCCTCAAGCATTCTTATAAGCTTGCACTTGCAGCATGTATAATACATTTTTTGGCAAGGCAGAAAAATGATCATGGCGCAACCCTGGCAGGTCACTGGAATAGATCCTTCGTTATCCATCTCCCTAGGAGCCATGCTATCTTCTGCAGCCTTCTACAGCCTCCAGGAACTTCCCTCAAAGTTCAACATAAACTCTTGTTGTGGTGATGTACCCTGAAAACTTTGAGACTGACCAAAAGGCTACCTTGCCAGCAGTTCTCTCTCCAGAACTCAGCAGCAGCCCTCTTCTCAGGTTCTTACAAGGGCACCAAGCAAGACCCACTGGCTAAGAGCCACAGGGCAAGAGCCCCTTGGCTCACGCCAAAGGCTCGAGCCTCTGGTGAGGAGCAGTCTTTTGTTTCGAAAGGCCACTTCCTGCCAAACACAACAGAGCCCAGCACAGTAGGGGGTGCAGCTTGCAATCAACAGCACTCCACAGCAACTCACTCAGCCTCCAACAACCCCCAAAACACAAACAGCCCCAAACAGAACTTAAACAGAACCACTCTCTATCAGGCTACAAAGAACCCAACTCACTCTCAGCTTCCCACTCAGCAGCTAGGAAGGCAAAGGGAGAAAGACAAAAAACCCTTACCTTCTAGCAGCAGCTCACCATGTGCTCTCCACTCCTTATCTCAGCCCAGCTCATTAAAGGCAATGAACAGTGCAAGTCTTTACCCATGCCATTCTCTAAAGTCTTTACTTAACAAGTTTCACTGCACAATAAAGCAGCACCTATTCTACACCTTTTAATACTATTATTGTTAGTAGGGGTTGTCACCTGTTTGATTGTCCTGTCACATTAATGTTGTCATTTGTACAGCTCTTTCTACAAAATATAATTTATTATTCTTATACATTCAGTTTTGGTCAGGTTATATCTGAGGAGCTGCTTTCAACTGCTTTCAATTTTTTTTCCACATACAGGTCTGCATTACATTCAGTGATTTTGAAAAAATGCAAGATGTTTGTAACTTTCTTGTTGAGAAGCTAGATAGTTCTGTCATCATCAGCCCACCTCACTTTTACCATACAGTGGAGACCATGGATAATCTTCGGTAAGTTATATTCTAATTCCACCCAGTGTAGTTCAAATTTCACCTGCTTGGTAAATACCACAAGCAGTAGTTATGTTTTGGACCAGAGGAACTTGAGGCAAAGAATCTAGAATGCAAATGGAAGGAAACTTGGAACAAGATTAACAGTGTGCTGGCTAGAATTTGTTTGAAGGCTTTCTGAGTGACAGTGATGGCAGCAAAAAAGGATTTCTTTTCCTCCAGCGTTGTGTCTGCAAAGTATCATCCAGCAGATGTTTTGCAAGTAGTAAGGGACTATCTGCATTATGGACACCCAAGATAATCAAATATAATCTTCAGCAGCCTACAGTGACTGAAAGACTGAGTAAACTTGCTGGTATCCATGGTAAAATAGACTGCTTTGAATACAGTACACCTAAGACACTCCATAGAGCTCTGCCTGGTTTTACTAACATGAATAAACATTATTCATTGTAGCCTGAAGACATGGACCCCGGGTGCTTGGAGACTGCATGCTTGGCTCTTGCCCATCTTGGCAAATAACATCAGGCCAAAAGGGTACAGCTGATTAGGTCCAAGGTGGGCAGGACATGGTTGAGTGAGAGATGGCTGTTCCAGCTGTGGTTATGAAGTACTCTTGCTTAAAAGTCTTCCTAGACCTTAACAGTTTTATTAATTATTGGCTGGTTAGTTTTCCTTTTTTCAACAAGAAATTTGATTTTTCTAGTCCTAATTCAGTCTGGCTTCCACACCAGTTTTGATACTGAAATGGCATTGGGTATCCCACTAAATGACTTATGCCAGAGGAGAAATAGGGAAAGTAAAATGTGGCAGATTAACTGGCATGAATTACATAGCTATATTGGTTAGTTTTGCAAGATCTTCAATAGTTTCCCACTATATTTCTGTGTTCAGTGTTTGTGTTACACAGTCCCCAGGCTGAAGGTATTGTAAAGGATTCCCTTGTCCTCATGAATTTGCCAGTCAGTTGAGCTTCATTTGAAGCTCTGCTCTGTGTACACTCAAATTCAAAGGTGAAGGGAATTATTACCAGAGAGGGAGGGATGATTCAGTGGTAGGAGTGGGCACTGAAATATGTTTTGGCAGTAACTCCCCCACAGCCCCATAAGGGTTACAAACTCCAGTTTGGGATAGTCCTGGACAGGGGTCATTTCCTGCAGGAGCGCACAGGAGCAGAGCTCCGGCAGTAAAGAGCCCAGGGGGCGGGCACATTCAACAAGCCCCGCCCCCTGCTCCCAGCAGCCCCAGGCCACGAGGAGCAAGAAGCAGCCAGGTAAGTTGCAGTGGGAGTTGCCTTCTGACACATTTCCGGTGATGTCAGGGGGTGTGACATATGCAAATAAGTTATGCTAATGAGCTCCTGCACCTCTTTTTCTACAAAATGACCCCTCGTCTTGGAGATTTATTGGCAGACCCTGGGGAGGGAAGGGAGCTCAGCAGGGATAATGTCGCCATAGAGTTCAGCCTGTGATGCTACCATCTCTAAGGTGCTGCTGGACGCAAATAAACAGGTTGCTTACCTGTAACTGATGATCTTCGAGTGGTCATCTATGCATTCACACCCATGGGATCTAGTGCGCACGTGCTGGATCGATTATTCATTGTAGCCTGAAGACATGGACCCCGGGTGCTTGGAGACTGCATGCTTGGCTCTTGCCCATCTTGGCAAATAACATCAGGCCAAAAGGGTACAGCTGATTAGGTCCAAGGTGGGCAGGACATGGTTGAGTGAGAGATGGCTGTTCCAGCTGTGGTTATGAAGTACTCTTGCTTAAAAGTCTTCCTAGACCTTAACAGTTTTATTAATTATTGGCTGGTTAGTTTTCCTTTTTTCAACAAGAAATTAGATTTTTCTAGTCCTAATTCAGTCTGGCTTCTACACCAGTTTTGATACTGAAATGGCATTGGGTATCCCACTAAATGACTTATGCCAGAGGAGAAATAGGGAAAGTAAAACGTGGCAGATTAACTGGCATGAATTACATAGCTATATTGGTTAGTTTTGGAAGATCTTCAATAGTTTCCCAATATATTTCTGTGTTCAGTTCAATGTGTTCGTGTTACACAGTCCCCAGGCTGAAGGTGTTGTAAAGGATTCCCTTGTCCTCATGAATTTGCCAGTCAGTTGAGCTTCATTTGAAGCTCTGGTTGGCAAAGAGCAACTCGCTTTCGCTTTATCACTTTGCACTTTAAAGGCTCACCTCCTTCAGTCTCCGGTCTGGCTCTGGGCAAAGGGAGGGAGACACCCATTAACGACGACGCTCCACACTTATTGAAGATGATTACAAGAAAGGAACAACCAGGGGGTCATTTCCTGCGGGAGCCCACAGGAGCGGAGCTCCGGCAGTAAAGAGCCCAGGGGGGCGGGCATATGCAACAAGCCCCACCCCCTGCTCCCAGCAGCCCCGGGCCTCGAGAAGCAAGAAGCAGATAGGTAAGTTGCAGTGGGAGTTGCCTTCTGACACACTTCCGGTGATGTCAGGGGGTGTGACATATCCAAATAAGTTATGCTAATGAGCTCCTGCACCTCTTTTTCTACAAAATGACCCCTCGTCTTGGAGATTTATTGGCAGACCCTGGGGAGGGAAGGGAGCTCAGCAGGGATAATGTCGCCATAGAGTTCAGCCTGTGATGCTACCATCTCTAAGGTGCTGCTGGACGCAAATAAACAGGTTGCTTACCTATAACTGATGATCTTCGAGTGGTCATCTGTGCATTCACACCCATGGGATCTAGTGCGCATGTGCTGGATCGATCGGCATTGTAGCAAGCTCTTTAACGGATTTTCGCGCCCAGTCCCTCGGGCATGCGCAGGAACCCCACCGCGCATGCCCAGAGGGGTGGGCGCGGACATCCCGCCAGTTCCTTCGAACCACCGCAAATCAACCCCTATGGAAAATGTAGAAGCTGACAGCAGCGGGAAAGGTGGGCGGGTGGTGTGAATGCACAGGTGACCACTTGAAGATCATCAGTTACAGGTAAGCAACCTGTTTATCTTCAACGTGGTCTCTGTGCTTCACACCTATGGGAGATTAGCGAGCAGTGGCCTACCTGGAGGAGGGTGCTGGCAGGTCCTTACTGCGTATAGATAGATAGAATGTGACGTCCCATGTTTTGCAATCAAGTAGCTGATTACTCTGTATAAGGGTCTGTAGAAGGATTAGGGTTGTAGAACAAACCAGAAGTCTAAAAACAGCAGTGAAGCAAACCAGAAGTTCATTGTTGTTGTTCTATGCAGTCCCATATGGGACTGCACACGTGGACAGGCCAGCCACCAGAAGATTTCTAGCTAACTTGATAACAGAGCAGGAAGAACTCCTCCCAGTTGGAGCTGTTTGGGCCATTTTTCCTGCCTAATGGTCATGTGCTGCAGGGAGGGGCCACCCTCCTTCCCTCGGTTCTCTCTTTGCCATCGCCTTGAGAACATTTTTAGTTAGTTCCTGTCTGTTCATCCAAAAAAAGAAAAAGAAACATCTCTTTATTAAAAAAATGTTCCTCTTGCTCAACGAAGGTGACTCGTATGGACGAACGCTTTGTCTTTTGTGCCTATAAGGTAGTGGCATATAAGATCTGCCAGCCATTTACCCCACTCTGTAAACCTGTGTGGATCACGCCTCTCACCTTAAGGCCCACCTTATGGGAGGAGGCTTTATCCACCTCTGTTAACCTGGCAGCTAAAACATCTACCCTGGTAGAACAATCTGTATTTTGAGCCCCCAAACCGGTCTGTGACCGTGTTTCCCGCCCTCCATCGATGATTTTGGTTCAGTTAGTTCCAAGGTCAGATCCGAACTGTAGACACTCCTGGACACCAGAATGGTGTCAGGTCCTCATCAGAAGCACCGCCAAAGAAACACAGATTGAAATCTAAACACAACAGTCGATGGTCAGTATTGATGGATCCAACTCACTCGGAATTGAAATGGGCAGCTTTGAAAGAACCAAAAGAACTGGTTTTGAAGACTGCTATTGAGGTCAGCAGGCATACTACCCTGCACACCCCTTCTCCTAGTGGCCACTCTCCAGCATGGTCTCCATTGATATGTGACCTAGCCACTCAAGGCTTTGGAACATGTCGCTATGTCTCCTGCCTTACCACCTCCATGGTAACCTTCAGGTCCAGGGCACCCATACTCATACTGCCACCCCAGTCAGTGTTGTAGAGAATGGCCAGACCCTCCAGAATTGCGGATGGAATCCAAGAAATCATAACATACGGTTGATTGAGAGACCGCATACACCTACGGTTCAGGTCTGGCTATTTATGGTTCTGAGCTGGAAGAAGACTGCAGGTCTATTGCTAGTTCTGGTGTAGCTTTGGAACCATCTCCTGATGATATGGTGGGAGATCATGACCCAGTGTCTCCAAGTGAAGACTTGCATTTATACTCAGATGGCTCAGATGGCACATTCTTTGGACCTCCAGGTCACTTCAGTGGACACTAGACCAAAGACAAGATACTGGGGTGACTCTACCCTGACACACCAGGGATTGTAGCATTCCTATTCCTGGAGGGAATCCTAGAAATGGCAAAATCAGTTTGGGGAAAAAGGTCTTCCATTCCTGCCACATTTTTTAAAGTCAAGAATATGTACAGGGTTCAGCAAGAGGGCTGTCCCTTCCTGCCACATCATTAACAGCAGAGGAGATGCAGGCTAAGCAGAGAGTGGGGTTCACATCAACCCCAGCTGATAAGGAGGGCAGGAAGATTGATGCCTTGAGCCACAAGACTTACTCTTCATCATCCATAAACCTCAGGATAACAAATTACCAAGCTATTATGGCAGCTTACCAACTGTTTTTATGGGAGAAGATCACCCCATATCTAGAGCAATTTTCCTGACAACAAGATGTCTTTGGCCAAGATTATCCAAACAGAAGCTCTCAGGCTATCTAGACAGCAGTTGAACGCTGGCAGACATGCAGCCGATGCTTCAGTGTGGAGGACTTACCTCGTCCTTGTTCTCCTCTAAGCCTGATGAGTTCCTCCAACAGATTAAGAAAAATCATCTGATGGCCCAGTCATTTGGAAGAACCCAGACCCAAGCCTCTTCCTACAGGCTCAAATACCACTCAAGATTACTTTTCTCTCACCAGAGTTTTCAATGCCCATATCAACAACAGCATATCAGTATCCTCGGCAAAGATCTTCCTCCCAGCCTTTGCAATATGCTGGATGTATATCTGACTCAAGACCCAAGCCTGGTCCTGCTCAGCACCACTCCTCCAAGGACCTGATGCAGGTCCCTAAGCCTTCTTTCTGACTATTAATGATTGGTATCACAGCAAACCACTCTTTTTGGCACAGTTTGTCCAATTTTTGTCAACCAGCATTACACCTGTATTTTCGGGGTTTCTCAAGTGGTTAAGACGCTGAACTGCAAGCTGTGGAAGGTCAGCAGTTCGAGACCCGGGTGCCGCAAGATGGAGTGAGCTCCCGTCTCTAGTTCCAGCTCCTGCCAACCTAGCAGTTCGAAAGCAAGAAATTGCAAGTAGATAAATAGGTACCACTTCGGTGGGAAGGTAACAGCGTTCCGTGCACCTTGGTCTTTAGTCATGCCGGCCACATGACCACGGAAACGTCTTCGGACAGCGCTGGCTTTTCGGCTTTGAAACAGAGATGAGCACCGCAACCCTAGAGTCGGATTCGACTGGCTTTTGAACAAGGGAACCTTTACCTTTATTCATTCATAGCCAGTTTACCACAGTAGCCAGGCAGTTATTTGAGACCACTACTATATCACCAAAGGATTTGGATAAAGATACAGAGAGAGCTGGGTATCATCTGTGTATTGATGACATCCAACCCTAAAATTACCAATGATTTGTTCTAAGGGCTTTACATAGAGATTGAAAAGGATGGGGGATAGGAATGCATCCTGTGGAACTCCAAAGGATAGGTCCCACACTGATGACAACTGGTCTCCCACACCAACCCTTTGAGTCCGATCTGTGAGGAATGATTTGAACCAGTTTAGCACAATACCTACTTATATCTCCAAGTGCCTCAACAAGATGGTATGATCTATATCATAGGCTGCAACAAGGAGGCATGGCCTGTGTCTACATTCAGACGGAGGTCATAAACTAAAGCTAGCAGAGTCGTCTCTGTCCCATAGCCCGGCCTGAGGTGAGACTGAAAAGGGTCTAGAGCAGATGGGTTATCCAAAAAGACCTGCGGTTGGTCAGCTATTGCTTTCTCAGTCACTATGCTCAAAAAGGGTAGGCTAGAGACTCAGCGATAATTGACCACATAATTTTTCTGTAGGGATGATTTTTTAAGTAGTGGACAAATAAAACCGCCTCTTTTGAATGGCCAAGGGAAGGTCCCCTGAATAAGTGACTGGTTTATAATAGATGCTAAGGGCTCACAAGTCCTTGCTTTAAGATGCTTACAAACTAAACTTTTTCAAAGAGGAGGAAAGTAGAAGACTATGCTAAAGAAGTTAATTTCAATTCCAGATTCCTTTTAACCATAAACCAATCACTGACAAAGAATGCTTATAGTGGACATGCCTGCTCTAAACTGCTTAACGTTGAAGGGTACTTCTCACAGATATTCAGTTGTTGCAATGTTTTAAGGCTTTTATTGATATAAATGTCTTTGCATAATTTAATTAGTTAAATCTTATTTGTTTCATTCCAGGCGTCAGGTATGTCTTGCTGCAATTGGCAGTGCACAGCAAAAAGCCCAAGAAGTCTGCCGACTGTTTGGCCAGTCACTGGGAAAACCTCTGCTAATAAGAGAGGAAGAAATGAAGGAATGGGAAGGCCACCTAGAAAATCACAGCATTAATCCCTCAAACTTACTGAGTTTGCGGCAGAGACTCCAAAGTGCCATAATTTATGTTTCTTCAAAGATGTTTGCTATCTTTGAGATAAAGGGAGAAAAAAAGAGAAAACACACAGCTCTTTTAAACATAAACTGATTTTATTACTATAAGGCAGATTTAAGATTCTTTCTCTTGGAGAAGAAATATTTTTGGTAAGCTGAACTTAATTTCTACGGTCAAAAATTAAAGGGCCAAATCTGGTAAGAAACCAACTTTCTTACTGTGCTACAATTACGCACGGTGGGGATAAAGAGCTAGCTGAGGAGTTGATGGCTTGTGTAAATAATACAGTCCAGAACTGTCGGTGGGTAAATTCAACCATCTCTATGTTATGCTAAAAGTATACAGCTGCTCCTTCCAGTAGTTTTCCGCCCCTTTTTAGTGCATTACCTACCATTATTGCTGAGAGTTTGGCTTTTAGCTACCAAAATGGAAACTCAGCAATTGTCTCGTGGTATTGCAGCCAGGGCCACTTTTGCACATATGGATTGTTCTCAGAACTGGAAAGGAATAAAGCAGTTGTCATTCACACACAGAGCCATCTGTCCTCCAGAACTTTGTACCACAGCCGTTGTATTTGCATGTGAAGTGTTCAAAAAGACTGTTAAACATAATTAAAATTTCAAAGAGTAGTTTTATTTTGGTCTTGCTCCCCAGTTTTGAAAACTATACAATTTATCTGAAAGAGGCATATGGTTTTTTCCTAGCAACTGACCTATATGGCCCAGGCTAGTCCAATCTCAGAAGCTAAGCAGGGTTGGCCCTGGTTAGTACTTGAATGGGAGACCACAGAGGAAGTCCAGGATTGTGCCGCAGAGACAAGCAATGGAAAACCACCTCTGAACATCTCTTGCTTTGAAAATCCTACAGAGTCACCATAAGTCAGCTGCAACTTGATGGCACTTTCCACCACCAAGAATAAAACTCACATTTTTTCAGTATTTTAGTGGACAATAGGGTTGCACTTACCTGTAACTGTTCGAGTGGTCACCTGTGTAGTCACATGGGTACTGTTCACACACAAGCCTCATGCAAAGAGGATTTTTTGAAGCTCAAAATGTCCAGAGGTGCTCCATCCCACTCCCCCATGCTGTTTCACACCTTTTCCAGCGTCATATAGAGGGGGCTGAGCACCCTTCCTTCAGTTCCTCTCTGCTGCTGTTGGAGTGCGGTAAGTTTATTTGGTTATGTAAAGAGCTCACAGTGGGGCAGGAGGGAGGGCTGTGTTACTGCACAGGTGACCACTCGATGAACGATAGCTACAGGTAAGTGCAACCCTGTTTTCATCACTGTGGTAGCTGTGCAGTCCCACGTGGGAGATTAGTGAGCTGATTTACTAGCCTCTGGAAGGTGGGTGTGAGCTCTCAGTTGAACAGGCCTGCTCTTCCCGCTGCCACATCTCTTGGTGTGTATGTTGATGGGGTAGTGTCGTGCAAAGGTGCAGGTGGAGGACCACATTGCAGCCCTACAGATGACATAAATGGAGAGGCCATGACAAAAATGTAGATGCAGCTGATGTAGACTGCCTGAGTGGAATGGGCATAAAGCTGCAGCAGATAGTCAACTCATACTAGTTTGCCCCATAGTTTGATGCACATGATTATCCATATAGTGATGGATTGGTGCCTACTGAAGCAATTAATAAGCTGGCATCTTTTTGAAAGGATTTTCTTCTAAGTAGAAAAAAAGCCCTTCGGACATGTAATGAATGGAGGGCTCATTATCTGTCATCCTGTGGTTGAGAGTATAATACTGGCAGGGTTTTGGTGGATGTTACCTTGGGTAGGAGCTGTAAAGAAATGCAGAGAACTACCCTAGGGTCAAATATTTGCAGAGTCCATTTTGTAAAGGACTCTGGGAATTAGCAGTAATGGGGGGAAATCATAAAGCAGGTCCCTTGTCCAAGTGGATTTGAAATGTTTCTCCCAGTGAGTGTGGATCTTGTGCACCTTGGGAGGAGAAGTATCTGCATTTCATGTTTTGACTGGTGGCAAATAAGTCTATTGTGTATTCACTATCAATGGCATTTGCTATCAATGGGGGCTGAATGGTGGGTGCCCTTGTTTTTCTTTTGGGTGTAATCTACTTCTCTATGGGGTTGTTGGAAGAGGAAAAGGTATCCTTCCTGCTTAGTTCTGTGTTGATTTTCAATATGCCTAGTGGGAGATGACACTGATGTCAGATGGAACCAAGGGACAGTAGTGACTTCAAGTAGACCTTCCATGACTGGGAATGTGACAGAACCCATATTCCTGGGATGGATTACTTTAAATACCAGATCTGTTACCCTTGGAGGGGTGCATGAGACATCAGTTTCAAAGGATCTCAACATTAGAATGGGTTGTTCATTGTATATGCAATGTTCTTTGCTGGGGGAGTACGTGAAAGATTTCGGTAGGAAGTCCTCAGGCGAGGGTTCAGAAGCATAATCTAGCTCTCTTGTTTTAATGAACAGGATGGCCATAATCACAGTCCAAGTTCCCTAAAGCGTGGATCTCTTCCTGTGGATCTTGTGGGAGACCCAGGTCCTCTATATGGTCGGGGTCTTCTTCCATTTGTTTGGAACCTAGAGGAGTGTATGGATCCCAACTTTGGTCACAGTAGTCACACTGGAGGTCTCAACATGGTGATTGGCATAATATCAATAGAAATCCATTGGAACTGAGTGGGGAAGTGGATCTCAGTGGTGAGATAAGGGGAGTTGGCGACATGGGATATGAGGTTCTGAGTCCTGGACTTCTGAGATGGAATGGGATGAGGGCAGTCAGAAAGCTGAAGGGGAAGGCGTTCTCAGAATAGGTACTGACTCTTTGACCAGTTCCAAGGAGAATGTATGAAGGACCAGTTCCTTATGAGGATGAGTAGATGATGGCTTGGACTTAGGAGGACTCTCCATGTGCTTGTATTTGTGCTGAGCCTTCTTTAGTAGTTGCTCCAAGGAGCTGTGCTATAGGGGCTGAGCCTGCAGGCTTGGCCCCTGTGGTCTTACTCAGGTCCTGTGGTCTAAGGGGCCAGTTTTGGTCTCAGAAACATTGGAACCAAGGATGCTTGGATCCTTCTGCTGGTATTGGAAGACTGTAAAGTGCTTTGCCTCAAGAGGCACCAGAGAGAGCTTTTCCCCAAGTTGCTGCTTTTAGGTGGGAAGCTCTGTTGTTCCTTGCCTTCAGGGTGAAATGGAATAGCGTGATATGAGGCTTCTCGCCAAGGCATAAGAGGCATTGCTTATGGTCGTCTGAATGCGGAATTCTTGACCCACAAGACCTGCATTTCTTAAACAGCACTTTCTGTGCCATTTCATAGGCTACAGGCTCTTGTTAGGTCGATGAGGTAGATTTGTTGGCAGTAGACGTGGTAAGGAGGAAAACAGATGGCAAGGAGAGAACTGAGGGAAGGATGTTCCTCCCTCTCTATATCATGCTGGAAAAGTTGGGAAACAGCATGGGAGAAGGGGATGGAGTGCCTTTAGGTGTTTTGAGCTTCAAAAAAATCCTCTCTGAAACAGGCTTGTATGCATGCTGTACCCATGCGGATTGCACAGGTACCACAATGATGAACAATTGCATTTGGTGGCATACCTGCCCATTCCATTCTGTGGGCTTACTGTGTGCCCACTGGATTACTGCATGGATCACTGCAGACAACACACTTCTGTTTAAAGGAAAACGTTTCCCCTTTGAATCTGGCTGCATTCATTGGCTCTATTCATCCACATGGGGGGCAGGTTTGGAATTAGAATATAACCCTAGGAAAGATAGTGAAGAGAACTGTTTTGCTATCTAATGCTTCAGAAAGTTCTCTTCCAATATTCTCAACTAGGTATGTAATCTTTGTGGGTCAAGTGCCAGAACTTTGAGGAGAGGGCACAAAATAGTACAAACTGAAATATGGTACTAATCTGTTAAAAGTTAAGGAAATTTTACTGATATTGCTGAAAGCACTCATCCCTCTTTTTAATAACATAAGAGACGCCAGTGTTGGATCAGGCCAGTGGCCCATCCAGACCAACACTCTGTCACACAGTGGCCAAAAATACCAGGTGCCATTAGGAGGTCCACCAGTGGGGCCAGGACATTAGAAGCCCTCCCTCTGTTGACTCCCCCAAGCACCAACACAGAGCATCACTTGCCCCAGAGTCCCTATCTATACCTTGTGGCTAATAGCCACTGATGGACCTCTGCTCCATATGCTTATCTAATTCCCTTTTGAAGCCGTCCATGCTTGTAGCCGCCACCACTTCCTGTGGCAGTGAATTCCAAGTGTTAATCACTCTTTGGGTGAAGAAGGACGTCCTTTTATCCGTTCTAACCCGACCGCTCAGCAATTTCATGGAGTGCCCACGAGTTCTTGTATTGTGAGAAAGGGAGAAAAGTACCTCTTTCTCTACCTGCTCTTTCCCATGCATAATCTTATAAACCTCAATCATGTCACCCCTCAGACGTCGTTTCTCCAAGCTAAAGAGCCCTAAGCGCTTTAACCTTTCCTCATAGGGAAAGTGTTCCAACCCTTTTAACATTCGAGTTGCCCTTTTCTGCACTTTTTCCAAAGCTATATCCTTTTTAAGGTGTGGTGACCAGAACTGCACACAGTATTCCAAAGGACGTCACACCATTGATTTATATAGGGGCATTATTGTCAGCTAGCTGTCATGTTTTGCTTGTTCCCCTCTCTGATCCTAGCTTGCTCGCTGCTCTGCTGCTTGCAGTAAACATTGCTAGGGAGACCGTGAGGGCCAGTTCTGTCAGACTGCATTATCTGTCTGGCCTTGTGAAGGAGGAAGGGTTTGCGTTCCACCGCTGGTGTGAATCTTTCAGCTCTCAAGAGGCACTGCGACTCTCCCGCTTATCATGTATCCTTCCGCTGGGAGAATTCCTGCGCGCACGCTCGAATTTCATTTGCTTAGCCATTTGCCTCATCCTGCTATATGTAAGGATTTTTCCACCCCATGGTCATTCCTAACAATAATCCTGTGGATATGGTACCAGTTTTGTAATCTAATAAAGCATAATGCTTCTAAGGAAACGTGTGTGATTTAGTTGCTACTGAACCTGACACAGAGGAACCTCGCTTGCCACAAACTAACACTGGCTAATGCACAG